CTCCTCGGGAGGCTGAGGCAGGAGGATGTTGAGCCCAGGGGATCAAGGTTGTACTGCTCAATGACCACACCTGGGAATAGCCACTGCATTCCAGCCTGGGCAACATAGTGAGACCCCATCTTTAAAAGAAAAAAAATTTTTTAAAAAGTTAAACATAGATTTACCATATGACCCAGGAATTCTAGTCCCAGGTTTATAGTCAAGAGAATTGAAAACATATATGTCCACACAAACACTTGTACACAAATGTTTATAGCAGCATTATTCATAATGGCCAAAAATGGAAATAATCCAAATGTACAAGAACTGGTAAGTGGACAAAATGCGATATGTCTATGAAGTGGAATATTATTCTGCAATAAAAGGGAGTGGAGGACTGAGACATGCTGCAACATGGATGAACCATGAAAGCATTATGCTCAGTGAAATTATTTGGATACAAAGATTTTATTTGTCCAGTATAGGCCAACCCATAGAGACAGAAAGTATGTTAGTGGGTTCAAGGAGTTGATGGGAAGAGGACAATGGATAGTGACTGCTACTGGGTATGGGATTACCTTTTGGGGTGATGAATATGTTCTAAAATTAGATGGTGGTGATGGTTTCGCAATTCTAAAAATATAGAAACCTTTGTGTAGTTTAAAAAGGTGAGTTTTATGGTATGTCAGATTATATCTCAGTAAAGCTATTCAAAATAAAAGGCACTCACTCCTCAGCCTCATAGCCTTTTAGCCACTGTTGTGGAATCGGCAAACCTGTCAGAGGAGAAACACCTTCTTCCCGTGCCTGGCTGATTGCCCTGGCCCCATCCCTCCTACTCAGCTGCTGGGCCATGTCTAAGGCCTTCACCTAGATGTTTTTACCTTGTGTCCAGCTTTTCCAATTGTGCTGAGGTGCAGAGTTTCTCAGAATTCCTGGTCCACCACCTGGAGCCTCCCAAGCAATCTTAAATTCACATGTGATACCTGCATTTTAATATCTGTATTTAGATTTATATCTCTCGTCTAACAGTTCTCAAAATTTTTGCTGTAAGGACCCTTTTATATTCTTAAATATTATTGAGGTTCCCCCAAGAGTTTTCATTTATACGGGCATATATCTGTCAATAATTACCATATTGAAAAGTTTAATTTTTCAGTGTTTATTAATTTACTTAAAAATAATAAACTGGGCCAGGCACAGTGGCTCACGTTTATAATTTCAACACTTTAGGAGGCCAAGTGAGGGGGATCACTTGAGCCAGGAATTTGAGACCAGGGCAACATAGTAAGATCCTATCTCTACAAAAACTTAAACAATTATCTGAATGTGGTGGGCACACTCAGGTAGTCCCAGCTTACTCAGGAGGCTGAGGTGGGAGGATTGCTTGAGCCCACGAGTTCAAGGCTGCAGTGATCTGTGATCAGGCTATGGCACTCCAACCTGGGTGACATAGACCCTGTCTCTAAAAATAATAAATAATAATAATAAACTTAGTACATGTTAACATAAACAGCATTTTTAACTAAAGATAACTACTTCCAAAAGGTTTAGTGAAAACAGTGCCATTGTTTTACATTTTTGCAAATGGCTTTAATGTCTGGGCTAATAAAAGTTGCATAAATATTCTTCTACATTTTAGTCTTATCACACACGTTTACTCTCTGGAAAATTCAATTTTACATTTGTGAGAGAATGAAAGTGAAAAAGGCAAGTAAGGTATTAGCAGTATTATGAAAATAATTTTGACCTTGTGGACTTCCTGAAGATGTCTCAGGGACTCCTTGGGGGCAGGCAGCAGGAGAGGTTTCTCCAGAGCACACGCTGGGAATCACCGCTGGAGCCCACACAGCGCCACCCGGCTCCCAGACCATGTGCCCAGCTGTCTGCTCGGCCTCTCTGCTCGGAAGTCTCGTGGCCACCGAAACCTAATATGAGATTCTGAGTGGCAGCGTTTCCTTCCACACCAATGCGAAAGTCAAAACGAGCTGCGTTCTGGATATCTGCCTGTGCTCTCCCTCTCACCAGATGCGAGTTGATCTGAGCGTTAGGGATGTTGGCCTGGATTCTGGTTAGCTCCGCCCCTGCTGCTGCAGCCTAGGGCTGGACCAGTTTTTACTAGCAATTGACCCCAGAGCAGAGAGGGAGGGGGCCAGGGTGTCGCCTTTGGAATTAGAAGTTCAGGCACCTGTGGGATGGGTGAGACTGGGCCTTTCTGCTTTTCACTTCCAACTTCACTTCCCTTTTCTCAGCGAATTGGAAGGAGGTTGGGGTGGAGAGTTATCTTGAGCAAGTGATGATTGTTTTGTGGGATCTTCCAGACTCCAGCCTGCCCTTCCTGCACCCACCACTGCCCAAAGCTTGTCTGGCCTCTTCTGGACCTGGTATAGTGTCTCAGCACTCAGGCCTCCTCTTCCTCCTGCCCACACCCACTCCTGGCATCTGCGCCTGGGAGGCTTCGGAGGCCCACTGGTCACCTGTGAATGCTCCTGTCTCGGGAGGTCATTTCAGGGCTTTCTTGCATCTGCTGGTCTTCAGTAGTCCCATGAATATCTGCCATTTCTATATTATTTTGATTCTTCTGGTGTTACGGTGGGAATGAAGGTTTTCTGTATCTTTTGACATCCTAAACTAGAAATGACTTCTTAATATATCCATTCTTCTTCTTCAGTCTGGTTTTCTTTTCTTTTCTTTCTTTTTTCTTTTCTTTTTTTTTTTTCTGTCACCCTGGCTAGAGTGCAGTAGCGTCATCATAGCTCACAGCAACCTCAAACTTCTGGGCTCAAGTGATCCTCCTGCATCAGCCTCCCAAGTAGCTGGGACTACAGGCATGCGCCACCATGCCCAGCTAATTTTTCTATTTTTTGTGGAGACAGGTCTCAATCTTGCTCAGGCTGGTCTCAAACTCCTGACCTCAAGCATTCCTCTGTGTCAGACTTCCAAAGTGCTAGGATTACAGGCATGAGCCACCATGCCCAGCCCCTCAGTTCTTTCCCAGAGTAATCTTTTAAAACTGATCATATAGGTCAGTCTCTGGTACGTTATTCAACCTCTTGTGTAGCCACAATCTAGGCCTTTGCTCATGCCCTGCCTGGAGTCCTTTTACCCGTCTTTGTTGACCGAATTGTCTACTCATTCTTTCATTGTGCCTTTCCTGACACACTTCTCCCTCCAGGGAACAAATCTTACATTCCTCTGTTCCCATAGCATTTTATTTATATCTTTATTATGTTATTTATAATATATTGAGGGCATTTCCTTTATATATCTGTCTCCCCTTTCTAATTTGAGTTCCATGAAGATTTGGATGGTTTCAAAATAAGTTTTTTAATTTTCTGAGATAAGTGCAATGGCTCATACCTAGTGAACATTAAGTATTTGTTCTATGAATGAATGGAGCCACACATAAAAACATCTCAAATATTCAGCAAATATTTATTGCCTACTTGACCCTTGCCACTGCACTGAGTGCTAAGGGATGCTGAGATTAACAAGTGCAGTCCTGCTCTCGAGGAACTTGTTACTTACTGTTTCATGTATCTACCAAGTATTAATACTAAGTTGGTTTTATAGCATACATTTAGGAATCATGTTTCAACTTTGCCACTTGTGATTTGTCTCCTATCCTGTCTCCTGGACCATAGTTTTATAATTTATAAAATGAGGAGAATAGACTAGATGACCTAGAAAATTTAACACTGTTGATTATTTTTACATCTTTCAGCTCCTTGATTACTGGAACCACATCTTTCAGTTCCACTGGGGGCTCGCATAGGGCTGAGCGTGGGGCCTCACACTCAGTGGTTGGTCAGCGTGTGCTAAAGAAGGAGGTGATGTCAGGGAATACTTCAAATTTGATTCCTGATTTTCACTCCATGGATTTCATGTTCTTTCTCTGTGATTCAGAATGTCTGTATTTCCTTGATCTAGCTTGGTCTCAACTTTGTGTACAGCTTTTTCATGTATATATATATTTGTATAAACCCTATCTCAAAAAAAAAGAAAAAGAAAAAAAGTACTACAAACTGGGGCACTCTGTAGAATAAGATTCTTTTTTTTTTTTTTTTTTTTTAAACCGGAGGGAGCATTTATAAAATATTTGAAACTCTGAACTTAAACTTTAAAAGATTCTAAATAATTTTTAAATAATAATAAAGCCTGTTTTGAAATCAAATTCTCATATAAAGACTAGCACATGCATATTTAATTCATATCTAAACCTAATGTATCATTTAGGTTTTTGAGGGGAATTGTGAACAGAAACCTAGAATGAACCACACCCAACTAGAATCAAAACTGAGTTAAACCAAAGCTATTTTAAGGGAACTTCTAGTTTAAAATGGAACTTGAATTATTGAAGTTGAAGACAACTCGGACATAATTATATTCCCTAAATGGGGAAAAATTAATTCTTCAAAGTGATTCAAGCTAGCATTTAATTTGGATCCATAGACAATTCACATGGCTATTTGCTAATTACTTAGTTATAGTGAAAATGCTTCACGCTACACCAGAGTGTAAGGTAATATTTAGTAACTGATCTTTCACTTGTCAGCAGCTTCAGTAGATGTTGCCAGTGTGTAAACATCTGAGGATGGTGGATCTGTGGCACGTGTGGTCATATGCTAAAATTTCTCAAACTCTTCACCTTGCTCTTTGCCCAGGTGGTTATTAGTGTTAAATCCAAGTAGGAGGAGGATTGCTTCAGCCCATAATTTTCCCACCATTCCTTTGAACTTTGTTCACACTGTTCGAGGATAAGCTGTGTGTGTGTGACTCATACTTACTTTGTTTTCATGTTTTGTAACACCTTTGCTGTACCAGGCCTGTTTTACTACCCCAAGGAAGTCTAGAAATGATTAGAAGCTTTTTTCCCTGCCCTTCAGACACAATATCTTTGGGGCCAGGTCAAAGGGTCTGCGGCCGTGACTCTGGGTCGTAGGACTTGAGCGATCCTCTCACTGACTGTGGTCTTCAGCCCACGGGCCCTGTGAGTCACCTCATCCTGGGTATCATTTCAGGTGAACCACTGTCTACCAGAGAAGATCGTGGTGTACCGTGATGGAGTGTCTGATGGCCAACTAAAGACAGTTGCCAACTATGAGATTCCTCAACTGCAGAAGTGTTTTGAAGCTTTTGAGAATTACCAGCCCAAGATGGTGGTGTTCGTAGTTCAGAAGAAAATCAGCACCAATCTGTACCTGGCTGCCACTGAGCACTTTGTGACTCCCTCCCCGGGGACTGTGGTAGATCACACAATAACGAGTTGTGAGTGGTAAGTGGGCAAATACGTGGTATTTGAGGAAGAATAGGTTGGAGAAGTTATCTATTTCCTGGGTATTAGAATAGGAAGATTGCCTGGAGAGGTATGGACTGGTATTCTCAGAGATGCTACAGTTAGAGGAATGAAGCTTTTAAAACATGATTTAAAAACAGCAAGAAAGCTTTTACCTCTTAAGTGTAAAGTATTGAACATACATTCTTTTTTCCTAAGATAGTGTATGCTTAACCTTCTACAGGGAGATAAGGGAGTTTCTACCACTGTTTTTTTTTTTGAGACAGAGTCTCATTCTGTTGCCCGGGCTAGAGTGCCGTGGCATCAGCCTAGCTTACAGCAACCTCAAACTCCTGGGCTCAAGCGATCCTCTTGCCTCATCCTCCCGAGCAGCTGGCACTACAGGCACACGCCACCATGCCCGGCTAATTTTTTTCTATTTTTAGTAGAGTCCAGGTCTCACTCTTGCTGAGGCTGTTCTCAAACTCCTGACCTCAAGCAATCCTCCCGCCTCGGCCTCCCAGAGTGTCTACCACTATCCTTAACTAGCCTGTTGAGTCAGGAGACCTGGGTTGTAATCCTGGTCCAATCCCTGTGTGTCCTTGGCCAGTCCATTTGACTTCTCTGAGCCCTCGGTGAAGGAGCTACAGTGATCTCCAAGATCCCTGCCAGCTCCATCTGGCCAGATCCAACCACATCACTAATTCCTGCTTTTCCTTACCAGGGTGGATTTCTACCTTCTTGCCCATCACGTACGGCAGGGCTGTGGCATTCCGACACACTATGTCTGTGTTCTCAACACCGCAAACCTGAGCCCCGATCACATGCAGAGGTGGGCCGATCAGTAGCTTACTTTCTCATTCTTAAGTAATTCTGGCCAGGTAGCTAAGGTGGGTTCACTGCCCACCCCAGATTTATTCCTTGACTTTCTTCATGTCTTTGACAATAATGGTATTTTTTTGAGGAGTGATTAGTAATCCTGGTTTTACATTAAAATTATTTGAAGAGATTTAAAGAAAATACTGATGCCAGGCTTCACCCCCAAGCATTTTGAGGCATTTGTATTTTTAAAAACTGTTCCAGGTGATGACCAACAGCTAGATATGAGACCTGATGCCCTTGAGTTCAGATTGCATACGTACCCTACCGGGGTACTAAACCCTCTGCAGCCTTTTCTTATATACAAAAAGGATTTTCTCTTTGGGTTGTTTTCCTTTTTTGATATAAAATAAGGAGATGCCTAAAGTGAGGCGATTTACCCATGTCCTCTGACTTATGGGTAGTGGAAATAGAAACAATTCCACTTAAAAATTATCATTCCAAAAAGCTGCGTCATGTATTCCTGAGTTCTCCAGTTTTCAGGAAAGTGTGCTGTGTGCCATATCCCTATAGGTATATAATCATGCCCCAAATTGGAGGTGGAGGGTGACAAGGATTCTGTTTTCTTCTTGGCCTGCAGGTTGACTTTCAAACTGTGCCACATGTACTGGAACTGGCCTGGTACCATCAGAGTCCCAGCGCCTTGCAAGTATGCCCACAAGCTAGCTTTCCTAGCAGGACAAATCTTACATCACGAACCAGCCATGCAGCTGTGCGAGAACCTGTTCTTCCTGTGACCGCGCAGCCTGCGTGCAGGCCGGTTAGGAGAAAGTCCACTTCTGAACTCGGCTGGGACTCTTGCAGAATCAGCGGAGGATGAAGTGGGTTTTGTGTTGGCGTTTCCCCTTCCTCCAACTCTGTAGAATAAGATTCTTTTTTTTTTTTTTTCTCTTAAACCAGGTATCACGAAAAAGCAAGTTTCTTTTTAAGTATAAGCTGGAAATTGCCTTGTTGCCTTTGTGGAGCACGTGGTGGTAGCACCCCACCTCTGCGCAGACAGAGCGGGTGAATCCGGGCGAGTCATTAGCAGCGTCCAGAGCCAACAAGAGCTGTAGAAACCTGCAGAAGCACCAATTGCACCTCTAAGCTCTGCTTACTAAGCAGTTCCAATTTCTGGTGCCAGAGGTGATAATGAATGAAGTCATTGCAAATTCTTAAAGTAGAGAGAGTTACTTTATTTGGGCAGCTGGGTAAGGTCATAACAGGCCCGTGAAGTGACAGTTTTCAAATAGGTATTTCTATTGCCGGCAGGTGTGCAAGTTGTGTAGTAAAACCAGCTTGTGGCATAGTCAGGCCCTTGATGACTTAATCTTCTCTGGGGATTGAGTTTATGATGCCTGTGACCTGAGTTGGATTTGAAAGTAGCTTTCACCTATTCTGTGGCCTCTTGACAGAGTCCACATGAAGTTTTTCTGTAGCTTTCAGTTACTTTACAGCATACCATTGCTTCCTTCCCCCAAATAGACACATGCACACACACATCTTTGCTCTTTGTGACTGATCTTCAGTAAGTTTTAGTTTTTGTTGTTTTTTTTTTTTTTTTTTTTTTTAGAGACAGGGTCTTGCTATGATGCCCAGGCTGGTCTTGAACTCCTGGCCTCAAGTGATCCTCCTGCCTCAGCCTCCCAAGTAGCTGGGACTACAGGCACATGCCACCACACCTGGCTAAGTTTTAGTTTTTTAAGTAACAATCAGAACACATGGACAAAATTCAACAGCTAGGAAACTTTGGCATGGGGGTGTGAGTTTTTATTGAACTTTCCTCCCAGGTGTGCGACCTTCATTTTTGTTTATATATGTTTGTAAATGGAATTACTCATTTCTCTTGCATAATAACCTCTTCCTGGCTGTTGGCTCACTTTGCTAGGAATTTTTCTGAATCCAAGTTAAAATTTCCAGAAGTTGGTTTGGAAAACGTGACACTTCTACCAAAGTCCAGACAGTTTAGAAAGTTGTCCCTCTTTCTGTGGGCTTCAATGTTTTTGAAAAGCACTTTTTTTTCCTGTGTTTTTTCTCACCCTCTCCCTGTTGTAAGATTTTCTCCCAGTCCTCTCAGGCTTAATTGTATCTTATCTTGCTTTACTGGGTTTTAAAAGGCAGTCTTATCTAACCTTTTTTAATTTTTATTTATTTATTAGTGTTTTGGTATGATGGCAGAGAGGGAACAAAGCAGAAATACCCATTTTATGTGACTGTGAGAAGAGAAACTTTAGTGTGAAACTCCTTAAAAGAAGAAAACCAAGGAAGTTTTTAGTTTGTTGCAGCACTTAGCAGAGGCTGAGGAGGGATGAGTGTTGTCGGTCCTCAAGTGCCCTTCTGGTTTTCTTTGGAGTGTGGGACGTAGGGTGAGGCTAAGACCTGGAATTTTAAAACCACAGAATCAAACAACGTGAACCACTGGTCTCTGGCTTAACAGATCAATTTTCTGATTTTCTTTGGAAGCATTTTGAATTTCTCTGTTGAAGTTGGATTTCCTAGTACTCTGTTTCTCATAGATAATGAGAACAGAAAAATATTTGAGTATATATAATGCAAAAATGTCTTCACTTTTTATTCTTGGTTTTCTTGCCTTGTTTTTCAGTTTTAACGCCAAACGATTGGGTCTGGGGTAGGAAATAAAAACAAATTTGTATAAATGTGTAGTTTGTTTGCAATAGTGTTGTTTATTATATTGGTACAGCTCTTCCTTCAGAGAGCTGCAACACTTCTAGCAGTATTCGTTTATTACTGTGCTCGAGAGGTGCAGCTCCCGTGTCAGTAGCCAGGTAATTTCTCTGCGAGCTGGATGGTAAGACTTAATGGAAAAGACACTAGCAGTTTCACTTCTGTGTGTGTGTATTTTGTCTTGTTTTGTTTTTTTTTTTTTAACCTCTTTTCCCATCAGACAATTCCTGTTAGCCTGAGAGCCAGAGAGAGTCAACTTCCAAGGCACGACCTACTCTTTTTTAATGCCTGCCCTTCTGTACGTACACCTCATGGTGTGTCTGTGACCATTATCTTCCCTGGGTTCAAAAATACAGTTAGATAGAAGGGAGAAGACCTAATGTTCAGTAGCACGATAGGGTGACTATGGTTAATAATAATTTATTGTATATTTCAAAATTATAAATAGAGGTGTGGAATTGGAATGTTCCTAATACAAAGAAATAATAAATGTTTGAGGTGATGAATATCCCAATTGCCCTGATTTGATCATTACACATTGTATGCTTGTATGAAAACATCACGTGTACCCCATAAACATGTACAACCATGTATCCATAAAAATTAAAAATTAAAAAAAAGTACCTTCCCAAAGCAGTCTGGCTGCTCGCTTCACCACTGCATCCCATTAGAACACTGGGATTTTTTCTATTTATTTAGAAACTCCATTCTTAAATGATGCAGTGTTTCTTGAATCATTCTAGAAAGAACCTAATTTCTGTAGAGTTGTCCCTTCTTTTCCTTAGGGGATTCATTCCAAGACCCCCAGTGGATTCCTGAAACCAGATAGTATCAAACCCTACATGTATGTGGTACTATGTTATTTTAGTCTGATAACCGAGGTGGCTCCTGAGTGACTAAGTGACTAATGGGTGGGGGGCAGCTTCTACCGGGAGGACACACACCCAGCGGGCTGGAACAGAAAGACATGAGATTTCATCATGCTACTCAGAACAGCATGCAATTTGAAACTTATGACTTGTTCATTTCTGGAATTTTCCACGTAATATTTTTGGATCTCAGTTGCTCCAGGCCAACTGAAACCTCAGAAAGCAAAACCATGGATAAGGGGGTATTGCCGTACAGTGTGACAGGGCCTTTTTTACTTGGGCAGCATTTTGTTGAATGGTGTGAAAAAGGAAGGAATTTTAGAAATGACTATTGAAGTCTTTATATTGCAATCCTCAAAACCTGGGCCTGAAGTTTAACTTCAGAGATTTGAATTACTAGAGAAGACCTTATTTTTTTATTTTTGGCTCTATGACTAGGTTCATCTGAGTCTCATACTAACTTTTCCTGTCTGGACTTATTTTCTTTTCAAAAAAACAAAAAGGAAAATCAAGAGAATAAGAAGACAAACCATAGCTGGAAGAAAATATTTTCAAAACACATGTCTGATAAAGTGCTGTTATCCACAATATACAAAGAACTCTTAAAACTTAACAATAAGAAAGCTAGCAACTCAATTAAAAAATGGTCAACAGACCTGAACAGTTCACCAAAGATGAACAGATGGCAAATACATGTATGAAAAGATCTCAACATCCTATGTCCTTAGGTAATTGCAAATTAAAATAAGAGGCCGGGCGTGGTGGCTCACGCCTGTAATCCTAGCACTCTGGGGGGCAGAGGTGGGCGGATTGTTTGAGCTCAGGAGTTCGAAACCAGCCTGAGCAAGAGCGAGACCCCGTCTCTACCAAAAATAGAAAGAAATTATATAGAAAAAATTAGCCGGGCATGGTGGCACATGCCTGTAGTCCCAGCTACTCGGGAGGCTGAGGCAGAAGGATTGCTTGAGCCCAGGAGTTTGAGGTTGCTGTGAGCTAGGATGACACCACAGCACTCTAGCCCGGGCAGCACAGTGAGACTCTGTCTCAAAAAAAAAAAAAAAAAAACAAAAACAAGATACCATTACACACCTGTTAGAACAGCCAAAATCCAAAACACTAACAATGTCAAATGCGGGTGAGGATGTAGAGCCGGAGGAGCTCCCACTCATTGCTGGTGAGAATGCAAAATGGTACAGCCACTTTGGAAGTTTTTTTTTACAAAACTAAACATCTTACTGTATGATCCAACAGTCATGCTCCTTGGTATTTACCCAAAGGAGATAAAAATGTTTCCACACAAAAACCTACACATGGACGTGTGTAGCCCCCAAGATGCTGCTATATTCATAATTTATAAACCTTTAGAAATAGGATGTCCTGCAGCAGGTGAGTGGATAAACTATCGTGTACCCAGACAGTGGAATATTCTTCAGCGCTAGAAAGAAAGGAGCTATGAAGTCATGAAAAGACACGCAGGAACTTAAATGCATGTTACTAAGTGAAAGAAGCCAATCTGAAAAGGCTACATAACGTATGAATCCAACACAGGACATTCTGGGCAAGGCAAAATGTAGCAATAGTAAAAAAATGGGAAGTTGTGGGAAGAGAGATGAATAGGTGGAGCACAGGGGATTTCTAGGATAGTGAAACTGTTCACCGTGACATCGTAGTGGTGAATTCATGTCATGAATTTGTCAAAACCCATAGAACGTACAGTGCCAAGAGTGAACCCTGATGTAAACTGTGGACTTGGGGCGATAATGATGTGTCAGTGCAGGTTCATCATTGGTAACAAACGTACCACTATGGGTGGGGTGTTGGCAGGGGGGAGGCTGTGTGTGTGTGAGTGCCAGGGGAATATGGAAATCTCTGTACCTTCTGCTCAATTCTGCCGTGAACCTAAAACAGCTCTAAGAAAGTCTATTTTTAAAAAAATACGAGGAAAACAGACCTCCAGCAACATGGCAGACTGAGTTGACCATTGTGGAAAATGTTGGCCGAAATAGAAAAAAAAAAATATTTTTTTAACGTAGCTGAACTTGGGGGAAATGGGAGGAAGGAAGGAAAGAAGAGAGTGGGGAGGGAGGGAAGAAGGCTAATGTCCAATATAAGAAAAGGAGGGAAGACAGTGGTCTCTGCACAGCTCTCAGAGTTCTGGACAAAGTACAGAGGCAGGAGCACCGAGCTCTTTCATTCCAGGTAAGGACAAGAGACGTGGCCTCAGACCCTGTGAGGTGCAGGGTTGCTGGAGTTGAGTCTCTCAGAGGAAGAAGGCTGGAAGGGGACTGGAAAACCCTGGCAACCGTCTTAGGACAGCAGCAAGGAGACTTGCTGTTTGACCAGGGAAACGGGTAGGGATAATAAAGCCTCCGTGAGAAATCCCCAAGCCTGGGCCAGATACAGGCGTGTGTAGTCTGAATTTTTATTACCAGTATACTAAAGGGCCCCAGACTGGTGAAAGTTCCAGAGCCCTGCGGAAACAATTGCAGTTGATTGGATTGCAGCCCAGAGGAACGAACGGGAAGAGAAGCGAGGACAGAATGAAAAGGTCCAACATTTGTCTAAGAGAAGTTCCTGCAGGTTAAAATAGAAAGGGTGAAAGACAATATGGAAAATATAAGGACTGAGGATTTTCCAGAATTTAAAGACAGATATGAATCATCTAAATGAAGAAACATATTGAGGATAAAGAAAACCATATCTAGTGCTAGATACACTGTAGTGAAACTACAGAACACCAAAGACAGATTCGTAAAAACAACCCGGTTTGATTCAGCGATCCCACTACTGGGTATATACCCAAAGGAATTGAAATCAGTATGCAGAAGAGATATCTGCACTCTCGTGTTCATTGCAGCGCTGTTCACCCAACAATAGTCAAGATGTGGAAACGACCTAAGTGCCCATCAACAGATGAATGGATTAAAAAAATGTGGTACATAAACACAATGGAGTGCTATTCCGCCTTTAAAAAAACAGGACATTCTGTCATTTGGAACAACCCGGATGAAC